TGCTCCGTCTAAACACTTTGTCGGGAGGACAAATTAATTTATGGACGAAAGTCTGATGCGCGATCATTCGACGCGGGATAATATTTTTTTCGTTTCGCGTTTCAAGAGAACGGCGTAAAAAGTGCGCATCGTACTGCGGTGGCTTTCAGAGAGCTTTTATCGCTTTAGCGCTTATCGTTTCTGTAATCCTCGAGCCTTTAAAACCCTCCTGCGCCCCTTATCCACCACTTATTTCCACCGCGGAACACACAAAAAAAAAGGGCGAACAAAGGCGAGATCAAACGATACTCGAGAGTCGGACGTCTCGTTCCACTTTATCGCTGGCCGATCGTTAATAAAGAATACGAGAAAAGATGTCTGTGTTAGGAATAGATACCACGTTCGAAGATGGTCGCGTCGCGAGACCAATTATCGATTATCGTTTGATTTCACACGGACTCCACGTACCTACCCGTTTCACTCGTTTGTAACGCCGAATCAAAAGCGCGTGTTTCCCGGTGAAACGGTGGAACGGCGGAGTCTCGCCCGTTTCTCCTTTCCTTCTTCTCCGCCCTCGTCAAGAACGATTCATCGACGTCCTTCGAATCCTCAAAATCGTCGGACGGGAACGTCGACGAATCGATCTCGTTAACTAGACGAGGTCCCCCCGACTCCGTAATTTCAGTTTCTCTTCGCTGACGACGTCCCTTTTTTTCTGGGCTAATTCTTTGTGGTTTTGGTTTTGTGGTGTCTTTGGTACCCGACTACGAACTGCAACCCAACGCAACTGCGACAACTACCATCTACCACCAATCTACAACTCAACAACAACAACAACAACAACCACAGCGTGAGGCCACCTGCACACAATCCGTACTATGTCACAAGCCATGCGGCTGCCGCACAGGCCGCGGCAGCGGCCGCTACGATTCCAGCCGCGGCCACGGGGCCATTCGTAGACGTAGTCGGCCATCAGGCCCATCAAGCCCAGTCGACGATTGCCGTTCCAGTAATGCCACCAGGAGCCGGCCGTAGCTTACACTATCATACACACGCAGCGACACACGCATTGCCACAACAGCCACCGCTTACCTACCCCAATTGGGTCCCGTTCACACACTTCGGTTAATCAACACGTGTCGATCATTTTTCTGTCGGCGAGACCGAGTGCTTCTTGCTGTCGTAATTGATAGTGTTTTTTTGTTTTTCTTCGTTTGTTTGTTTTTTTTTTTCTAGATAGGGAAACGTCTGGCGATAAAGGGGGACCTGTTGTTGTTGAAAAATCATTTCTATTCGATAGGTTGGTGTTGTTGAATGGGTTGATAGGAAAAAGGCGAATATTGGATAAGATGAATTAGGATTGTAACGAATGGTCCCGTTTATCGTAAGACTTTTCCCCCGTTTACGTATGATAATTCTTACATATATTCGTCTAAGGTCAGAGCTCTGCACGATCGCTGTTCTTTCCACCGAAGATGAGACGATTGTTGCTAGAAATTATGAAATCGTCTCTCTCTCTCTTCTTCCGTTTTTTTTTTTTTTGTGCTTTCCATTGGTAACGAGATTTTTGCAGGAACAGGGGTCGAACCTCGCTCTTGTGTATAACAGAGAGTCTGTGTCGACGGACTGGATCAACAGGTTCGATGTAATCGTCGTTTATTTTCCTCGTCCGTCGACGTTCCGCCAAACGCTCGTGCCGGCTTTGGCCTGACGAGGTCGGGAGAACGATCTTTTAAAAGAGTAGCGATAAAATTTCGCGGGGACGCTTGTCTCTGCCGTGTGAACGAACCAGGAGTAATCGCGGTAGGATCGTTTTTACGCGTTTCTCTAGAGGATCGCGTAAGGTCGTTAAAGTAAAAGTCTTAGCTGGTCGGTCAATCGATTGATTCTCCTGGAAGTCGTGTATTTAGGTGTAAACGCGAAAAGTGAGAAAAGAATAAAAAAAGAAATTAAATAAGGTAAATAAATGAAACGAGTAGCGAATTAGTTGTCCGTAGACGGGGAAAAAGAACTGTTTTCCTCGATTTCCAGTTATTACACGAATTCATTATCGGGGAGCAGAGGAGAATCTACAATACTTATTGAAAAGTGCAGAGGAGTTTTTTATCGCGACGTTCGAGCGAGCGCCAGGGCGCGGTAGATTTTATCGATCTTAGCTGCCACGTGGAAGTCGTATAGAGAATATTTATGGTTCTAGTTAGAGGGATTTAAATGGAAAATTTTATGAGAGTATATATATATATATATGTATATATATATATATATATATATATATATATATATATATATATATATATATATATATATATATATATATATATATATATATATATATATATATATATATATATATATATATATATATATATATATATATATATATATATATATATATATATATATATATATATATATATATATATATATATATATATATATATATATATTTGTCGACATAGTATTTATTGACGTCATCGACTTTACTGCAAACAAACAAAACAAAACAGACGAACAAAGAAAAAAGAAAACGAAAAAAAAAAGAAGCGTAAAGAGAAAAGAACTGCAAAGACTTTATTAGCATTTAATCACGCGAAGCAACCGTTCGACCAGATTAGAATAGTATTTTTCTACTTGAACCCACGAGAAAAAAGTCGGAAATAACCGTACACACACAAAGAGAGAGAGAAAGAAACCGTGCACGATATTTGCCCAGGCTGTGTTTCCACGCCGAGCAACACGAAAATCGGAATCGACGCGGTCGCGTCGCGTCTTTACATTTTTAGCGTAAAAGAAAAAGGAAAAAAAGGAGAGAAAAGATGAAAATCTCGGAAAGTCGATCACAGTGGAATGCGTTGCGACACACCATTACAGGAAAAATGATCGAACGACGTTTGACGAAGAAGAGGGGCTTAGACATTTTGCGGCGCTCCTTTCGATGCAACGGATTCTTCGACGATTTTTCACGTGTATACACCTTCTTTCTCGCAATTTTTTTTTTTCCAATTTTTTTTCTTCTTCTCCTTCTTCGTATTATAATCGATCCACCGAGAGAGACGAGAATCAAAACGGACAATCAGCTTAGATGCGTTACGCCCGCGGAAATCGAATCCGATGCGCGCTAATTACCTTAGAGTTACGCCGACAATCGCGATAAACGAGCTTCGCACAAGCAAACACACGTAACACTCGTACTCGAGAGAAATCTAGGCCAGATGAATTGAGAAAACGTAGACGACACACGTGCACGCGCGCGCACACACACGCACACACAGACACACGTACATATACATAGACATACAGAAGCACACACTAAAGTGTGTGACCTCCATCGCACTAACAAATGCTAACAATTGTCAGAATCAGGGAAAGGGGTGCTCCACCCCCACCCCCACCCGCCTCGTCGACATCCTCCAACGTGCATTTGAGGAAAAGGTAAAAAATCAAGAACAGCTTTCAGTCGACAAAAAAAAAAAAAAAAAAAAAAAAAATATGTAAAGAAAGTAATGTGACGAAGCGAGGAGCAATAAGGCAAAAAATAAAAGAGAAAAAGAGGTCTCTTTTTTTCGCCCTCTTTGGATACTTCGATCGCGAGAGTGTGCACACGTATGTACAGATAATGTACGGATCCTCGTTGTCTCGTGCCCTCTTGCTCCATTTGCTTCGTTGAAATCACCACCGAGTATTGTGCTGCCACGAGTAGACAGCATTTGCTCTGCTTGTACCCTATTAGTTCGTATCGCACTGCTTGCTTCATACGCACCATTTATCCATTCACATCTACGTAATACGTCCAGCTGATCTCTGAACTCTGTGTATATCGTCAAACGTGATCACACCGTTCATAGTACTCTCATTACCGCCATTAGCAACTCTCACTGTCGTATATATCACCATCGATCACCACCATCACTAGCAACGATCCACACGAATGCTCGAATTTTCACGACCCCCCGTCTGTTTTTCTACCTATTGCGCTTTAATCTCTGATTCACGTTTCGCTCTGTTCTTCTTTTTTCCGTAGTTATTCTTTCGTTCCGATACGTCTCTGTCGTCTAACGTATATATTCTACATTATATCCGAGACTTGCTCGATAGACGACCATCTTTCGTATCGATACTTCAGGCGCGGTCGTGAAAACTTATCGAGCCACGAACAAAAATGTACATAAAGATATTTTATCGAACCCCCTCTCTCTTAAGCTAAGTTCCGTCTCTTGTAACCGTATCCACCCGTAAATAAACCCGTAAAAGTCTATCAAGTAAATGACACCAATTACGAAGAACTGTTTTCCTAGAAATTAGTAGTTAAACTGTCGAAACTGGACTCACACTATTGTTCGACCCTAACCAGCCCACCTGTTTACTCCGAATCTTTGATCTTTGCTCGTAGAATGTCTCCTGCGATCCGATGAATTTTTGCAAAATACGCACACGTGAATCATTTCCTTATCTCGATGCTCGTTTTCTTTTTTTTCTGCATCGATTTCTTAACGAAACTTTCTACGAGCACGAAACTCGAAACATCTATGTGTTCTCTTGCCAACTAATTCAAATATCTGTGTATATATATTTACATGACACATAGCCCCCCCCCCCTCTCGTGTTGAATTAATTTAGGGCAGTGTACGAGTGCGGCCGCTTCGATGATCGATGGAAAGCACGATCTTCGAAGCGGCTGATCCCTCCTTGCTAGAAGTACTTGAGTAATAGAATCCAAAGACGAGTTTGAAACTGCTCTCTACACTTCAGATTCGAAAGAACGGAAGCGCCGAATCTCCTCTCTTCGACGGCGATAAAGAAATGAAAACGAGAAGAAGAAAAGAGAGAGGCTTGAGAAAAAGCGCTCGCGTTCTTTCGGCCTCACCTTAGATCCAATCAAAGACCTGTAGAGGCTCGAATGAATTCCAGGTCTTTGATTTCGCATAGTGTTCCCCCTGGATCCCTCGAATATATAAAGAAAGAAAAAGAAAGAAAAGTCAGAGAATGAAAGGTTTTTCTCTAACGCTAATTTTCCGACAGGGGCACCAATCCACTGGCGCCGGACGCGGTGGATTTAACGCAGCTGACCTCGGTCAAGGAGTGGCTGGCCTCCATCAAGATGTCTCGGTACGCGGAGAGCTTCGAGAGGTCCGGGGTGTTAACCCTGGAAGCAGCGGCACGCGTTACCGTACAAGAATTAACAGCACTAGGAGTCACGCTTGTTGGACACCAGAAGAAGATCATGAACAGCGTGACAGCGCTTAGAGCGCAAATATCCGCCACTTCGCAAGGTTTTCTCGTTTAGAAAGCGAACGTGTACCGGTCAGGGTGCGCCTACTCACAGAACCATTTCCAACGAGCATTGACTTTTTGCGATCGACGCAGGACTCGATAAATCCCATATCGACCTGACGGATCGTTCGTTCGAGGAGCTTTCGCGTCGATCGCCCTCTAAAGAGTATTTTCTCTATCGCGAGGAACACACACGACGATCCTAGATACATCTCCTAGTCAGGCCGATAGGCATTTTCAAAGAAAGTAACCCCTTCCTTTAGCAAGTACACCACGGCCGTAAAAGACGCAGAAGCAGCAGCAGCTCTCCGCCCCAGCCTCGAAGAATCGGGGAAGCCGCGTACAGCATAGACATTCCAGCGCAAGAAACGCTCGAGACTGATTCGAGATACGGAAGACAACGAGGCTCTCGCGTCTGCAATGACTCATCTAATAAACTATAGCATAAACGGAACTAGCGTGAATCTTCTTCTGTAAATGCGCCTTTTCTCCAACAGAGAAATATCGGTATGGCGAAGAAGCTCGTGACACGGGATCAATAAACGTAGAGATACGAACGAGGAAAATGATGAATCGCGCGCGCCGATTCACCGAGCGTCGAACGATTCAATTCTCAACTGCCACTGTATTAATAATCACTGCCGTTATTAAAAGGATAAATTTACACGTACAAAAATGCTTGCGCGACGAGCCGACCTACGGCGACACACAAAAAACAAAAAAAGAAACAAATCCTATCTTAGACCTAAAACTCGAGCCTGTTCACCGTTTAGACTGTCTAACGCACTGAATCGTTGCTCATACACACAATATAACTGGAAACGTCTTACCGGACTTTCTGTTTTTCGGTCCAAACTCTTTGCTACATACTTGTTACATATATCAACGAAGCCACTCTTGTTTTACAGTGTTCCTAACTTGTTCTTATCGAGTCGAACGGTGATCGGGTTATTCAACGATCGATGATAATTCTTTAAAAGTGTCTCTAGACGGTACAGATCATTGCACGAACAAATAGACGGCCTAAAGTATTAAAAACGACCCCATAACACGCTGCGCCTACTTTCCTTCGGTCGACGGTCGATTGTATGAAAAAAAAAAAAACAAGAAAAAAAAAGGAGAGAAACGAAGATTCAAAATGGTCTAATATTGTAATGTTTTAAGCGAATACGATCGCGAGAGAGAGAAGTCGAGGACAGCGTGTCTTGAGCATTTTACGTCCCCCGTGCAGCGAATATTTTATAGCTCTAATTAAATAAAGCTTAATCGATGTACAAACACCTAAACACAATTTTTCACACGTACACATACACACGTCAGACACATCGACACTCGAAAATTGCCACTATCCGCTCCGTGTTTTGCGAAACGATCGAGGGAGCGAGCAGATAATTGCGTGAGACTGAAAGAAGCAAGATCATTCGAATAGAAAAGAAAGAAAAGAGAAAAATTGCCCTAGATGTTAAACGACGAAACAAAGATTTAAAGAAAAAAAAACGAAAAAAAAAAAAGAAGAAGAGGAAGATACGATTCTTGCCTTCGCGTTACCTATATAAGTATGTTGTATATGCGATCTGTATAGGTACCTGTCGATACTAAATGAAAAAAGAGAGAGAACGAATAAATAAGAGAAGCAGGAACATGTGCCAATAAATGCGAGGACAGAGAGAAAGTAAGTGTGCGTGAACGAGGGAAAAAATGTATTGCGTGAGAGAGGAAAGAATAGGCGCACGTAATCGCGCGATCGTCGATTGCGAGAACAAAGAAAAATCCCTATTATAATACGTATTAAAAAGAGAGAGAAAACAAAAAATAGATTATATTGTGCGTAAACGCGAGACAGATTTATCCGGAAGGGGGAACGGCGAGAGGAATCGTTGACGAAAAGAGAATCATCGTTCAAAAGAAAGGGTTCGAAGCGAATCGTGAAACGTGTCCCTCGACACCGTGAACATATCAAGGCGTATTTGAAAAGGGAGAACGAGAACAAGAGCGAGGAAAACGAGCTCGAAAATCGTGACGAGCGTGTCAGTTGAATTTCTCAAAGCAGCATACGACGAACAGAGAATAGATCGAAGATGGTGTTTTCGCGACGATACCGAGAATGTATTATGCATCGAGCCGCGCGAAAAAGCGAACGAACAGAATGTTAGGGATTGCCTGTAAGAATAGTAGATTTACTTTTCGATCGGTCGTGTTCGAACAGTTTTTCATCGCAAAAACGCAACGTCCATAGCCCACAGTGTGCACGCGTATAGCGACACTACGATGATTTATAATGTTGGTTTAAAAAGGGAGAAGGAAGTGAAGGCTTGTTTCGTCGCGATGGATGATCTGTATCTTTGTTACATCCGCGTTCGCCGATTGTAAAGACTGCTTCCCAGGCACTAACGATATCTCCGGGAGATGCCCGTTTGATAACCGGCGAACGTTCGTCGTCGAGATGATCGACGATCGACGATCGACCAGCGACTCGAACGCTTCCAAGGCAAACAAAAGAGAGAGGAAAAAAAATATGAAAGAATGAAAGAGAAAACGTCGGGCGAGCCACGGGAAATTTTTATTCTTAATTTAACGAATTACACTAGGAATATATAGTTGACGAGGCTCGACGCTCCACCGATGTGTGACAAAAGGGGAATGACGTATAGAAGATCTCTGAAAGATCTCTCGGTAGTCAATAGAAATTCGCAGATCGCACAGATCGGAGATGTAGAAAGGGGCGATCGAAGACTCGATCGTTGAAATCGATTCATCGGTGCGTCGAGCCTCTCGATTAGGAGATTCTTACACGAGGTCGTTCCGTTTGCATTCGAAAAAATGCGAAGGAAAGTCCTGGAGCCTTTGATTATTCGACAGGTGATGTTTCGTAAAGAGCGGGAATAAAAAATAAAGAAAGAAAGGAAACGGAACGTCGCTTGTCGAACTTGAAGCCTCCGTTAGGGGTGAAAGAGAGCGGAAAGCTACTGAAAAAAAAATGGCGGCGATTAAGAAGCAATAAGTGAATACACGCAAATGCAGATTTTTATATAGAGAATGTTAAAAAATTTCAGAAAATATTAATTATCGATAGCGCTATCTTCCTAAATGTTCGTATTAAAAGTTAAACGAGAAGTAAGGTAAAGCGTAAGGGTGACGAGGTCACGTGGAGTCCCAACCGAACGGATACAGTATCGAGAGAGATCGGTAATCGAAAGTTGGGGATAACGAATAGCGATATCGCGGCGTGTAAATTTCTGCGCGGGCAAAAGAAGAAACAAAAAAAAAAAAGAGCAGAAGAGAAAAGATAGACAAATAGATAAAACGAGAGAGAACAAGAGGAGAGAAATATTTCGGAGGGGACTCCGCCGGAGAAGGAGGAAAAAAAAAAGGTTTTATGAACTTTCAGCTGTAACTATTTGTGTCTAGCGACGAACCTGCGAGTGCGACCTGAAGTTTTGAGAATGTCGATAGTTTCAGCGAATTAATATTTAGATTTCATAGATCTCTATCGATATTACACGATCGTAGGCACGAAACGAGCAGATGATAATTAGTTAGAGCGTAAAGGATATCTTATTAGAGAGACCTTTTCGATTTCACTTGAGTCTTTCGAGTTCGAACGCCTAGAGCTGTCTCTTTTTCTCGAGTAATCGCCTCTGTTCTTCTTCTTCATCTTCTTCTTCTTCTTCTTCATCTACTTCTACTTCCATTTCTCCTCCTTTCCTGTCAGTATCAATCGCCCTTTGCCTACACTTTCAAAGCTTTTGGATCGTACTTCATGTCCATGTACTTTCGTTATCTCTCACTCTCTCTCTCTCTCTCTCTCTCCGGTGTTAAATACGCGGAGCGCTTTTTATTTTTTAAGAGCGAACGAACGTTCAGTTTGCTTCTCCTATCGTTTTCCTCTTTTACGTTCAATCTTCTTTTTATTATTTAGTTAGGTTTTTTTTTTTTTTTAAGTAATCATTATCTCTTTTTCTATCGAGGAAACGCAGCGATAAGTAAACGAATGAAAAATATCGTTGAACACATCCTCCTCAGACACTCTTTTACTTAAATACTTTTTTTACTCGATTTTAACACTTCTGTACTACTATTTATTAAAAGCAAAGAAAGCCTTATTTATTGTTTAGAAATCTGACTAAATTAAAAAAATGGACGTTCTAATCGTGGTAGGTTATCTATTTACCTTGCTAGAATCGTACGAAAGGGGACGAGAGAAAGTAAAAAGATTTAAAAGATAAAAAAAAGAAAAGAAATCATTATTTCCTTACTTCGGAGTTTTCGAAAAACTCTAGCCGCCGTGTAAAAAGAGACGAAAAGGATAGAAAGAAAAAAAAAAAGAAAACGGAGCACAACATCATAGAATTACGATCGTCGAGTCTCTAAGCAGCTATGTTATCAATTAGTTAAGCATTTTTTAAGCGATCTACGTGCAACGTTGTTTAATTCTCTTTCCATTTGATTTTTTTTGTTTATTACTCATTTTTTTTTTTTTTAACCAGTCTGTTTACAGCGAACTTTGTCAAAGTACCTGCTTCGAAAACGAAAAGCAAACAAAAAAAAAAAGAAGAAAAGAAAGAAAAAACATATATTAAATTCGCGAGAAGACAAAGCACACAGGTACCGTCCCGTATATATTATAAATAGCTCATCTACTATCACGTACACGCATCATAATTTATGTATACTCGTCGAACTGAGTTTTTACACAATTGGTTCAGCGAATCGCCACCGTGTGTCCTCGATTCATTGTATAAAACAAAGCGACAAAGCGCAACAGATGCAATAAGAGAGTTAATGTCGACAAATTTTGGAATGTGTCTAAAAACATTTTTCCTATGGTGTTGTCAAGACGATGTTGAATGTAAATAAGATATAATAAATAATATACCTTATACGATGTAAAAAAGATTGCCTATCTTTATTCTTCGAACCCTTGTCCTAACGTAATTCTTAATTATGACGATCAAAGAAATTTGAAATTTTCAAATATTCCCGCTGATACAACTACGACGCTTTATCGGCAAATCCAATATCAGTCAAGCGAATATTTCTCTTGGAATCTTCTTTATCATAATTGTAGTCTACGGAAGAGAATTTCTACCTTACCATCACTACGTGCGTTCATGTACGGCTGCGCGTGAGTACGTTTGCGCATAATAAAGTTTTTCCAATATAGGTGCTTCCTTTTCCGTTTGGCTTTACCCTGAAGGTTTGTTCGAATTATATGGGATTTTTATTTATCCACAATAGTCAGGTTAATCACTAAAGGTGGAGATGTTTTCACAAGTGCTCGAACATCTACACGTGTAGACAATGTAATTCGTCAAAATATGACCAAACCTTTTCCTCTAAGAAACAAATTTATATTTCAGATCCAAGATGGTACAGCGACTAACCTATCGACGACGGTTGTCATACAACACAAAAAGTAACAGGAGACGCGTGTGAGTAATTTACCTTTCTTAGAAAATAATTTAAGACGTTCTTAAACTTAATCGTGCCTTTCTTATGTATATTTGAAATATTTTACGTGGTAGTCGTAAAAATGTGAACGCCTGAGTATGTTAGGTTATGTTTTGATTTACGTGTTTGGTTAAGTGAAATTCACGTGTGGTCGATATTTCAAATAATCATATTATACATTCATTAAATTTAGATTAATATTACGTTTCAATTCTTAGTCAGTTTTATTAATTTATTATAGATATTGATAGTATTTGTAATATTGATAAATTGTGCGAATGTTATAATTATACTATCCCAATTTTGTACAGGGTTCGTACTCCTGGAGGAAAATTAGTATATCAGTACCTTAAGAAACCGAAGAAGATCCCCAGATGTGGTCAGTGCAAAGACAAATTGAGGGGTATTCAGCCGGCTAGGCCTATGGAAAGGTCGCGAATGTGCAGACGCAAAAAGACTGTTAAACGCGTATATGGTGGTGTTCTCTGTCACAAATGCGTCAAGGAAAGGTAGATTGTACTTCTCTTTATTTCTGAAAGATGTTCGTAATTTTGAAATATTGTTTATCTCTGTACAATTGCGTTTATAGGATCGTCCGTGCTTTCCTCATTGAGGAACAGAAGATCGTTGTTAAGGTGATGAAAGCACAAGCGTCTGCAAAGCCGAAGAAGGCAGAAAAATAATCGCTTGGTTTTTATCAGTTAAATAAAATATATTTAAAAACAAAATGCGAAATGTATTATTTTTTTATAACTATCAGAATTATTTCAGAGCTCTTTGTTGCGTTTCTATGCTGTATGAATTAATTTCCAATTTTATCCAGATTAAGCTTTGAAATCTCTGGAATATCTAAGTTTTTTAGGGTTTGATATGTACATAATTCATGTCAAGTTAAATGTAAAAATGATCGATATACAAAGCAATACCCATAAATAGCAATGCATTCATTGCGTTCCGATTGTTCAATAAAAGTATTAGAGTATCACTTTGTTATTAAACACTGGTTTCACATTCAGAAAGAACTCGTTAACGATGTAGTGCGTAATTAATATCTGTAATTTTATAAAACAATAAAACATCTTCAAACAAAATAATTTATTCATCGTGTAAAAACCTGTAATTGTTTCAGCAAGTACATGAATGCATATATTTCAATGTCTGTCTGAATTTGCAATGATACACATTAATGGTAACAAGTAAGGCAAAGTAAGTAACAGCGTTCGAGAAGGGCAGCAATAGCGAAACGAGTTAGACTAGGAAAGGAATATGTGTAGACAAGAATAGCACTAAAGAAATGAGTTAGACGAGGAAAGGAATACGGGTGAAGGAGGATAGCACTGGTGCCATGTGTTAGACAAGGGCAGGAATACGGATAGAGAGGGATAGCAATAGTGCTGTGTGTTGGACAAGGAAAGAGATAGGGATAGACAAGGATAGCACTAAAGAAACGAGTTAGTCAAGGATAGCAACAGTACAATGCGTTAGACAAGGAAAGGAATAGTGATAGACAAGGACAGAAAATTTGAAATTCGAAACTAACGGCCATCTCGCGTCAGGTGCCGCGAACTACGATTTTTTAATAGGATTACAGGATATAAACAGAGGTATTAGACAAGGAAAACAATAGTGTGCGACAAGGAAAGAGAGAGAACGTTTCCTATTGGTTGGCGGGCAACCAAGCTCTACCAATCACTGGCTAAACCAAGTCGGTCAGGGAAAATTTATTAATAACTCGATAATTAGGATGATTCCATGAACTTTTAGAATTGAAGAATGAAGTGTGGACCTTTAGCAACTTTCACATATATTTTTTAGTGCTCTAAAACCTTTAAATAATTAGTTATTAATAATTTTAGTAAGTGATGTCGGGAACGATACCGCGTACCGTCAATCGACTTTGCGGTTTTTCAATAATTTCACAGCTTTCTACTAAATTCGTATGCAACTAACTGTATGCGTTTGAAAGGCAATTCCTTTAGCTACATTCTCATATCATTTTTATTCACATATTCCGTTTAGTTTAGGAGTTATTAAATATTATATGAGAGTGTTTTCTATACATCGTACTCGTGTATAGTCAACTGTTGTGAACAATTGCTAATATCTATTAAACCACACCACTTACGTACACCAAACTAACTGTAGAATATAAAGAAAAGTCCATTCTACATTCTACATGCTTAAAAGTCTACAATTTGTTACGCATTTCGATTGAAATAACGAAAATGTGTAACGCTTGAATACGGCGGGTGCAATAGCTTTACGGTTCTTCAATAATTTCACAGCTTTCTACTAAATTCTCATGCAACTAACTATATGCATCAGAAAGGTAATTCCGTTGGCTATATTCTTCTATAATTTTTATTAATATACACCGTTTAGTTCAGGAGTTATTAAATATTATATGAGAGTTTTCTCTATACATCGTACGTGAGTATAGTGAACTGTTATAAACAATTGCTAATATCTATTAAATCATACAACTTAATGCTACCAAACTAATTGCAGAATATAGATAAAAGCCCATTCTACATTATACATTCTTGAAAGTGCATAATTTATCACGCAATTCTATTGAAATAACGAAAATGTGGTACGCTTGAATGCAACGTGTGTAAAGAATGAATGAACTCACCTAAAGAATGTTAAATAACTATGAAACTACAAGGGTTCTGCTGATAAAAATTATAGAAGAATGTAGCCAAAGGAATTAACTTTCTGATGAATATAGTTAGTTGCATGAGAATTTATAAGAAAGCTATGAAATTATTGAAAAACCGCAAAGGCGATTGACGGTACGCGGTATCGTTCCCAACATCACTTACTAAAATTATTAATAACTAATTATTGAGAGGGTCTAGAGAACTAAAAAGTATATGTGAAAGTTGCTGAATATTCACTCTTCATTCTTCAATTCTAAAAATTCAGGAAATCATCCTAATTATCGAGTTATTAATTATTTTTCACCGACCGACTTGATTGAGGCCCTGGAAGAACGAGTCTACCGGCCCGCTAGCCAATAGGAAACGTTCTCCCTCTATCCTTGTCGCACACTAGTGCGTTCCTTGTCTAATACCTCTGTTTATATCCTGTAATCCTATTAAAAAATCATAGTTCGCGGCACCTGACGCGAGATGGCGTTAGTTTCGAATTTCAAATTTTTCTGTCCTTGTCTAACACTATTCCTTTCCTTGTCTAACACACTGTACTGTTGCTATCCTTGTCTAACTCATTTCATTTGTGCTATCCTTGTCTATCCTTATCTCTTTCCTTGTCTATTTCACTATAACCGATTATTAAGCGTTCGAAACGCTTTCCAGGTTTAGTTTATTTGAAAAAGGGAGAAGAAATTCACTTTACTTTGCAAGTGAGATTTAGAAGTAAAATCAATATAATGAAGTAAAATATAATATAATGGAATAAGAATACAATAAATACAAGAAGGTAAAGGAAACGTGTCAAATATTTCCTTGCACCGAGTGTATTCTGCGAAGACGTTATGAATGATAATAACGCATGTACAAAGGCAAGTTGTAATCATGATCGCTATCAGTTTCTATTAATTACTGGAGCGTAGTATAAAAAGCATGTTATTTCTACTTTGAATTTCGTGATATTAAACGTAATAGAGGCGCTGGAACCAGTTCTGTCGATAGATCTACACGTGTGTGAGATTTTTTGATATAACGTAGTATCGTATAGAACATTGCTTTTATTATACAATAATGGGTAATACAAATGATAAAACGAGTCCCGTCAGTACAGAATCAAAGGATACAGAAAAATCTGAC